GACTGATACATCTGCTTGGCCTGACTCTTGATCTGGCTGAACAGGTTGGATGTTGTTGTTGTTGTTGTTGTTTTCTTTCTTTTTTGTTTTGTTTCGCTTTCTTTAATTCAATACAAACTTTTTCACAATCACTTCAGCAGAATTCAAAGATTGAAGAGAACCATTTTTTCCTACCTTTCCAATCTCGGGGTCAGGCCTCCATGGAGAGTGGAGAAACCACCCACACCTCCTGCTGTGCAGCTCCAGTGAGTAGGAATTCCACAGATGACCACTGTTCAGATGAGCTCACTTAACTAAAAACTGTTTGCTCACTATGTATTTTTATGTGAACTTTAATCTGATGTATGGAACTAAATCTACGTGTGTGTAATTTTTTTCTTGCAAAAGATATTTCTTTTGATGAATCAATCAATAAGTTAGTGTATATTGAATCATGATTTTATGTATATATATATATATATGATTTTATGTTTATATATATAAACACACACACACACGTTTCCCCAGACTTAAGGTTACTTATAAATAAATAAATATATATATATATATATATACACATATATAATAGAACACGCTATGCATATACTTAAATATTAAAGATCATTCTTCACTAATGAAAGGAAGCAACTTCATCTATGGAAAAATCCGACACTACTGACCATGACAGGTGAACAAGCAATGTCGGGATAAAGGTAATGGGACTGATGTGACATTAAAGCACACAGAAGACTATTTGGGGCAGAAAGGGACCCAATGCAAGGACAGCAGGGAGTTAAGGAAGGGCAGTGGAGGAGACAGATGAGTAAGAACACAATACAATGACATACATGTATGAAAATATCACAACACTATCAATCATGTTATATGCTAACGTGAAAATTTAAAAACCACCCTAAAAAAGAATTCCACAGTATTATAACTGTAAACATAGATTATGTCCTTTTATCAAACCAGGTGTCTTTGTTATGGTTTCTGTTGCAGTAAAGAGACACCATGACCACAGCAACTCCAATAAGGAGAATATTTACTTGGAGTGGCTCGCTTACAGTTTCAGAAGTTCAGTCCATTACCATCATGATGGGAGCATGGCGGCATGCAGGCAAGGTGCTGGCTACATCTTGATCAGAAGGCAATAGGAAGTGGACTGTCACACTGGGCGCTTGAGCATATATGAGACCTCAAAGCCCGCCTCCACAGTGACACACTTCCTCTAACAAGACCACACCTCCTAATGGTTATTCCCTGAGATTATGGAGGCAATTATATTCAAATTACTACACCAGGCATGGGACACAAGATTGTGGGTAGGGTATCAGACACTTAAACTGAAGCAGAAGTATCACTTGAGCCTGTGAGCTTAAGACTGGTCTGTACAACATAAGACTGTGTACTAACGAAGGAGCGGGGGTAAGAAAGGATGAGGGAGGGACAGGCAGACAATTCTAGCTATGAGAGCTAAACATCATCGTTTACAACTTGACTTGAATTCCTGTAAACTGGTTACTCACACACCTTGCAGGTCCCCTGGCAGAGGTCCTCTAGTTGAGAGAGCAGGCTAGCAAGTGTAGATTTCATATGAAATCCTATGTCCTGACCAAAAAATGTACATGATTCCGTACAACCCCAAATAAATATTTCTAATTATTACCGCAGAAATGACTGAGAAGCAATCATGCCAGAAAATTGAGACCAAAAGTAGATCATTTGGTAGGGGTGGTGGCTAAAGCCTGGATTTCACGACACACGGCAGCCTGGGTGGGGCAGACCAATCACTAGCGTGGGAAGCATCAGGAGGAGGAGGGCAGCTCAGTCTTGCAGCTCCCGAGCAGGCCAGTTCTCCCTGCCATCTCACAATACATACCACCAATCAAAGTTTAAACAGGAAACAACACTGGAGGGAGGAACCACTGATTGGAGCTGGTATTTTCGCTGACCTCCACAACAGGAAGTCTCAGGAGGAAACAGGAAGCACCTCACTTTCCTCCATTCTGTATTTCCTTAAAGGAAACATATTCTATTTGAGCTTCATATCTTCATGACTATGATTTATCTTTGTTATTATATCATTTATGGGTTATAAGTCACCTGAAATACTTTTGGGACAGATAGGATTTGAATTTCAAATTATAAGCAACACAGATAAAATGGCTAATAGAAAAGAAACCAGATAACAAGACAGGAAGCAAAAAAGATACATACTGAGCCCTCAAGTATCATCCTGAGAGATTTGAGACTTTTAAAAAGAAGTATAAATTATGGCTTTGCTTTCAACAGTCAGCAATCAACTTTATATGAAAATTTTCAAGCTGAAAAGAACATTAATTCCATACAATAAAATCAATGATAAATTGTACGATGTTATTTAAGGAATTAGTATAGGTTGATGTAATAATTGAAAATAGTACCGTCAAGTCTTTGCTATGCATCAGGAACTGCGTAACTAAAATCCTCATAGCATCTCTGGGAGGTATGTTAGTATGATTTTTCTCTATAGATAAGGAAATTGAGATACAAGATAAGTAGCTTGTTATAACTGTTAAAGGTAGTAACTCAACCAAAAGCATCTGAGCATTACAACCACGGTCTAGAGGAAATGAGACTTTTCAGCTTCTCCTGGAATTATGAATGGAAACAAACTGGTAGCATTGACTAAGAGGTGGCGGGGAGAGGCAGATAATGACCCTAGGAATGGGTTGAAAGGACACAGAGTGGACAAGTAAACAGCCTGACTAGATAGTAGGTTGAGGACTACAGGAAAATCTGGGGAACAGGAAGCAGGCAGTTTACAAAGAGCCTTCAAACTCAAAAGACTCTATTTAAAACCGCGGGCAACAGCAAACCGTTGTAAGGTCCCAGAGCACAAAGGGGTGGATGAAAAGACCTTCTTGGAAAGATAATATACAATGATATGAAATACCCCTAACTTCAAAGGCAAACTATTGGTAATTATTCTCCTTGGCCCTGATAGACCAATGAGCATTTGATGTACCAAGCATAGGAGAGGGGCCTCCGTTTGGGCAGAAGATCGCCCTCAGATGGAGCATATTTTGAGCTGCCCTATCTTCTAAGCACTTTACAGCCTGTTTGGCCCCTAAAGACATTCGTTTCCAATGTCCCATTACCAAATAATCTCCATAGCTTTCTTTTTGATGTTGATTATACTTGTGATTCAAACATAACCTCTGAGCTCCAAACACATCTTGAAGCTTCAAAGATATTAATATTCACTACCTACTTATGTGAGCTTTACTGTTTTCCCAAAGGGACGCTTATGTTTCTCAAAAGTTTACCAAACACTAGGAAGTGCTATCAAGATATACCTTGTTCTGGGCACAGGAGTGGATGCCTATAACCTCAGCACTCTAGAGGCTGAGGCAAGAGGAATCTAAGGTCCACACTAGACTGGACTCTGTAAGATCCTGTCTAAAATAAAAAAAAATAAAAATAAAATAAAAAAAAAAGGTGTAGGGTGGGGTGGCACAGTTGGCAGAATGATTGCCTAGCCTGCACAAAGACCTGCATTCCATTCCCAGCACCATATAAAACTGGGCAGTGTGACTGATGCAAGCCAGTACTTGGGAAGGAGACGGGAAGATCAGCTCAAGGTCAGCCCCAGCTGCATAGGCAGCACCAGGCTAGCGTAGTCTAGAAATCTGAGAAAGGGAAGATAGGATTTTTTTAAAGCATTGTCTTACATATCCCACCACGACAGCAAGACCTTTAACATTATCCTAATCTTGTAATACTCCATATTCAAATGAATCAAGCTGAGAACTATTTCCACTGGTTCCTTCCATTAAAATACAAATAACAATTTTCTGTTTGTTTTTGCTCATTGAGACAGGCTCTGGCTGTGTGTAGTGCAGGCTGGATTCAAACTGGAGACGGCTCTGCCTCCAGCTATGACATGCTAGGATGACAGTGCTGGGCCAGCAAGCTTGGGTATGACGTTTTTCAAAACTCTGCTCTGGGAGACTTTAACTCCCTCGTTACTCGAGTTTATTTTTCGGCTAAGGTTTTCATTTTGTGTCATTTTCCCCTGTCAATATCTGCAGGTTTGGAAGCAACGAGGAGTAGTAATACCTGGGACCCTAAAGTGGATTTGAGCACTGCACAGGGTCTCTGTTCTCTAACCCTAACAATCGTAAATGTACACTTTGCCACCACAGTGGTGGCCACTATCAGATTATAATGACTCAAAGTAAGCTTTCGGCAAAGAATGATTGAATTTGGAAAGCGCAAGCCGACTGACAAAGTACACTCATAACAAGAGGAAATGAGTCTGAACACTGAAGAAAAGCCCTTCTAACCTGTGATGGTGCCTGCACTCTCAGCTCCTTGGAAGGCAGGCTGAGCGCAGGAGGCCACCTGGAGCCCAGACCAAGCAATCCAGGCCTAGGAGTGCCCACCAGCACTTGGGAGACTGAGGCACGACTGCTTAGAGTTCGAGGCCAGCCTGGGCGACACAGTGTGTTGCAGACCCTGTCTCAAAAAACAAACCCACAATAGGGGCTGGTTTGCTTGTTTGTTTTTTCTTAGGTTTGGAAACTATTTACATCTTGTCAGAAGCATGTAACTGCAGAAATTAGGACTCCATTTTTGATTGTGAAAGAACATGTGGCCACCCCGGGTTTTACTACCAAAATTTCATAATTCATAATTCATAATTATCACTGCAACTGAAAGTATGTCTTCTACAAATCAGTTAATTATTCCTGTATCTCTGATCCCCCCACCCCTTCCCGGTTTTGTAGACTGGGGGGCGTGTTGGCTGCAAATCTGAAAGCCCTTCAGGTGGGCCTGCCAGTCACTTCACTTCCTTTGTTTCCAGGTCACGTGAGCACACTCCAAGCACAAGGTGAAAGGTCGCCTGGCGGCCCGCGCCCGCCTCCCGGGCCTTTTGTGCCGGGCTGGCCGCTCCGCCGCCCTTCTCCGGTCCCGGGAGGCGGGCGAGGGCTGCGGGGACCAGAGGAGCAGGCGCCGTGGCTACGAGTACTCACCCCGCTCTCCCGCTCGCCCAGACCTGCAGTCGGCGGCACGCAGAGGGGCGGGGCGGGGCCGGGACGGCGGAGGGGCGGGGCCGGGACGGCGGAGGGGCGGGGCGGGAGGAGGAGCCCCGCCCGCGCCGCTGTGAGCATGCGCCGTGGGGACGCCGGGCGCCCGGGGGACGTCCAAACGAGACCTTCCTGCAACCTGTGCGCCCGCATCCCGTTCCAAAACCTAATCCACTGGGTGATGTCAGCCTGGCAGGGGCGACCCCGAGCCAGGGGGCCTGCACACTCTCTCCAACGCGCTATCTAATATCCTCACCATAAACGGGGGGGGGGGGGGCCGGTGAGGAAGTGGAGTCCCAGCAAGGGAGCTTGGAGAGCCAGGCCACCCTGGTTGCTGTCACCCAATTTAAAACAAGACTGAGGAAGAAGTTAGGAATTCGAGCGCTGAAAACCATACCAATTATGACACAAAAAGCAGAAAATGCCAACCCAAAATGAAACGGGCAAGGGCAGGAATGGGGGAGGGGGTGGCTCCAAGAGGTTATAAGTCATATACGTCACAGGACCCATAGGATATCTCAGAAGCGCGTCTGCTCCTTTAAAAAAGAAAACATTTCTTAGAAAAGAAAGTAAACAGGCAAAATGAAAGCACCGTCAGTTTCTCAAGATGGAGGTTTTGCTCTTGAGCAGTTGTTTAAGATTATCATGTTAAGTAGCTAATAAATCCCTAGGACCCTAGGTAATGTTTTTGCAATTTCCCTAGAGTCCTTGTTGTTTCGGAATAAGCTGGTGGTGTGTGTGTGTGTGTGTGTGTGTGTGTGTGTGTGTGTGTGTGTGTGTGTGTGTGTGTGTGTGTGCGCGCGCGCGCGCGCGCGCGTGTGCCTTTTGTTTGTTCTTTGTTTTAAATGGACAGAACACAGATCAGCGGTGGCCAGTGGCAAGAGATGAGGGAAAGAGCTAACTAGAAGGAGGCTTAGAATTTGGAAGGAAGCTAGAACTCCGTTTTTGATTGATGATTACACCACTATTTTGCTTGTCAGAAAGCAGTTAAATTTTGCCATGCAAAATAGGGTTTTGTTGTTGTTGGAGGTTTTTGTTGTTGTTGTTGCTTTGGTTTGGTTTTTTTTAAGACAAGGTTTCTCTGTGTAGTCCTGGCTGTCCTGGAACTTGCTCTGTAGACCACGTTGCCCTCAAACTTAGAGGTCTACCTGCCTCTGCCTCCAGAGTGCTAGGATTAAAGGAATTCACCACCACCGCCTGGCGCAAAATAGTTTTTAAATTCTTTTTGAAAACGGTATTGTAAAAGTGAACTTAAACTAACATTTTTGAGCAATTATTAATTGGTAGCCCCCAATTTAAATTATTCATTTGATTTTTTTTTTTTTTAGACAGGATCCAGGCTAGCCTGAAACTGCAGATACTACTACATCCACCTCTGAGTGTTAAGATTAAAGGCCCGGAATACGTTAACCTGCTTCTATTTGATGTGTTCCTTTGTTTTGACATATAAGAAGTTACTTGTAAGGCATGGTGGCTCATGCTTATAATCCCAGCATCCAGTGAAGTAATGGGTCGGGCAGGAGGAGTTCAAGGCCAACCTGGGCTACACAGCAAGTTCTGGATCAGCCAAGGTTACACAGACCCATTCTAAAAATAAAATTAAAAAGTTACCAGAAGCTTTCCCAGGCGAAATCAGAGTAGCTAATTTACCATGCCATTATAGTCACAATTTTAGAATACCTCCCATGCATTATACAATGTTAACTCAAGCCTGGCTTCTACACCAGAGCCAATTTTAAATGTCATGATTCCCCTACCAAAAACAAAGAAGCAGGATGTAAGGTCACCCACTTCTTTGTAACCCCTTGTACCATTAATGGTGAAGAATGATTCTAGCTTGTTTGTGTGTTTGCACACAGCATGATAAAGATCCTAAGGGCGCCGGGCGGTGGTGGCGCACGCCTTTAATCCCAGCACTCGGGAGGCAGAGCCAGGCGGATCTCTGTGAGTTCGAGGCCAGCCTGGGCTACCAAGTGAGTTCTAGGAAAGGCGCAAAGCTACACAGAGAAACCCTGTCTCGAAAAACCAAAAAAAAAAAAAAAGAAAATAAAAAAATAAAAAAAAAAAGATCCTAAGGGCACTTGTTCTAACTAACTAGACAACCCAAAGAATAAACCCAAATGTAAATTATGGACTTCTGTTAATAATAATATATCAAGATCGGTTCATCCATTTTGGTGAAATTCTGTCTGTGGTACGTGGAAATTCCGTGCTAACTATTCGATTTTCTGTAAGCCTTTTTTTTTCTACAAAGAAACCAAGTCTTTAATTAAGAAAATGATACCGCAAACCAGGTGTGGCAGCACACACCTAATAATCACAGCACTCAGAAATCAACAAGTGTCGCTGCAAGTGTGAATCTAGTCTAGTCTGGAAGCGCAAGTTCTGGGCTCTCTGCTGTAACCAACAGAACCAGCCATGTGTCTCAGGGTTTCTATAGCTGTGAAGAGACACTGTGACCTCGGCAACTCTTCTACAGGACAACGTTTACTTGGGTGTCTTACAGTTCTGAGGTTCAGTCCATTATCATCAAGGCAGGACACAGCAGCAAAGCAGGCATGGCGCTGGAGAAGGAGCTACGTCTTTATCCCCGGGCAACAGGAAGTGATCTGAGATGCTGGGCGTGGCTTGAGCGTCTATGAGACCGCCCTCCCAAAGCCTGCATCCACAGAGACACACGTCCTCCAACCAGGCCACGCCTACTCCAACAAAGCCACACCCCCAGCCGTGCCATTCTCTATGGGCTTGTGGGCAACCCCACCTCCCACCCCAACTGCATTCAAACTGCCACACCGTGGGACTGGAGTTCGTGGTTTTAAGGCTCTTACTTATTCTTTGGGTTGTTGTTAGTACCTTTTATTGTTGGATTTTTTTGGCCCAGGCTGACTTACAACTCACTAAGTAGCCAGGCCACTATGGCCAAAAAACGTCATCAATCCTCCTGCCTCAGTCTCCAAAAGCTGACATTATCAGGTTGGGCCACTATATTTGGGTCAAGGATCTCATTTTCGAGGGTCTGGTTTGAACTAGGATATCATATATGAGAAACTTCCAATTTGAACAGTTTATCAGAGTATTTAGTGAATATTGTCTAGGTTTTATTTTGAGGGACATTTTTCTCTTTCAAGTGTTTGGGGATATTTTAGAACTATAAATTAGCTTTCAAATTTGCCAGAGGAACTCAATGTTTTGAAAGGTTCATTCTAGTAATGGTCTGGTAATATCAGAGTGCTTTTTTATTTTTATGTTTTTCAATCTGGAATTGGTTGGAAGAGAGTCCTCGTTTACTTTGGGGTTGGGGGAGGGAGTTGGGAAATGTCTCATACTGTAACCCAGGCTGGCTGATTTGGCTGATCCAAATCTCACTGATTTCTCCTCTCTCATAAACTCTGCAAAGTGTAGGTTCAATTGGCCTGTGCTCTCAGGGCCCTGGTTAGAATCCCTAGTTAGTCACTGTAAGATGTCTTCCCTGCAGGAGTTTGCATTTACCACCCAGGAGAAGAAAAGGCCATGAGTGCATGAGACAGGATCAGTTTGTACGTCCCAGGGCATACTGTTACATTCAGAAGGACTAGTTGCTCTTGTTCAATCATTATCTATTTTCTTTAATATTTGTACGAGATATTTCCCCACGTGGGAATTAATTGCGGTTACAGGATTAAATTATGTATTGATACTGGTGTGCTGTAGTGACGTGCTTTAAGAGAAGTTCAGCCTGCAGCCCCAGAATCCTTTGTGTAGATTTAATTTGGAGCAAATCAAGTGTTGCAGTGAGGCAAAGCTTCCCTTTGAGCCATCTCAAGATAAATAACAATGATAAGGCACTTGCCCCTGCATGTGCCTCATTTCATAAGATCAACAGCCTGGAGTCAGGACGTTGTGGAGCAAGCTTCACTCCCGTCATATATTTGATGTTAATTTGGGGCAGTCGCCATATCTGAACCTTGGGATGTGTATTTCTGTAAAATGGAAGTAGTGATTGTCTTAGCTAGGTTTATTATTGCTGTGACAAAACACCATGACCAAAAGCAAATTTTGTGAAAGGGCTTATTTGGCTGACACTTCTACAACATAGTCCATCCCTGAAGAAGTCAGGACAGGAACTCAAGCAGGGCAGGAACCTGGAGGCAGGAGCGAATGCCGAGGCCAGAGAAGGTTGCTGCTTCCTGTCTTAGTCGACATGGCTTGCTCAGCCTGCTTTCTTAAAGAACCCAGACAAGCAACCCAGAGGTGGCCCCACCCACAAAGGGCAGGACCCTCCTCCGTCCATCTCTAATTAAGAAAATGCCTACAGACTTGCCTACAGCCAGATCTTGTGGAGGCATCTTCTCAATCAAGGTTTTCTCCTCTCAAATTACTCTTAACTTGTGTCAAGTTGATGTAAAAACCAGCTAGCACTGAGATCATTTCATTTTTGCAGGGTTATGGAGACTAAAAAGTACACATTTCCAAATTTATGAACACAGGTGATGGAGTAACACAATCATTAATGTGGTTGTGTTTCTTCTCCCTTTTCTATTTTCCTTCCTTTCTCTTCCGTACCCTCCCCTCCATTACCCCCTGCCCTCCCTTTCCCTTCCATCCCCTTCCCCCTTACCTCACCTCCCTTCTCTTTCTTTCTCTTCCCACAGTGACTCACCTTGTAGCCCAGACAGGCCTTGAACTTGAGATGAACACTGGCTGCCTGTAGATAAGAAGATGGCGGACCACCTTCCTTCTGCTACATTTTTACTCTTTGACTTAAGGAGACACGATGTACTATCATCTATATGATACTTTTTATTATAAAATGAAGCGTGCTGTCTATAGGTTTTTAAAGATTACAACTGATTCCGACTGTACGTGGGCACAAATAATTTTGATCTTGTTTAATTTTTATTTTGGAAAAGAAGTTTATCTATTACACCGCAAAGACCACAGTGAATATGACGGTAACAGAAGAACCACCTACCTATCATTTTAGTCTTATTGAATAGCTCTTCAACATAAAGGCGATTTTATCTGACTGTAAATTGTG